TGTGTGTTGGGGGGGGTGTTGATGTGAATGAATAATATGTAGTTTTACTTTATTTATTGGACAGTTTGTGTGTCATTGGGCAAATTCCTGTTGCTTAGCAGAGCAGATCACATTAGAGTAGGGCCCACTTAACCGATAGGGATTTGGTGAGTCAACTCCTCCATAAGTTCCATTGATTCGAATGGGCCTACTCTAAATGCAATTTACTTTAGCACAGTAAGCCACTGTCCAAGTAGGACCATTTCAGTCAATGGAACCTAAGGAGGAGCTGACTCACTAGATTTCTATTGGTTCAAAAAGTCTACTTTAGTGCAATTTATAACACTCAATAGCAGGATTTTGGTCAACATATAGTGCTTACTGTGGTTATCTGGGAGGGGGGGAAGAAAGAAGGAACTTACCCCAAATAAGGCAGCACAATTAGACTGGTGATGAGAACAATGATCCGCAGCACAGAGCTAGGGGCCAGCACAAACGTCTTTTTTAATGTCATTAACCAGCCTGTCAGATGAGCTCTTACTGTAACTGTAAAAAGCATGTGGGAAAAGCAATCAGAAGCTGGTTCTCTAGAAGAATAATGTAGTCCTCAGTACTCACACATATTAAAAGTTCAAGACTTCTACGACTAAGTTCAGGTTCACCATGGCTAACTGTTAATGTTCAATAATAGGTACAATATTATGTTCAATAAACCCACTGATATATGTGAATATAGAAGATAAGTGGTTAACAGAACACTTAATAATCAACACCTGACATTCACAGTCATACTTAGTCAGAAACTGAAGAATAGTGTTGTTCCTTCTATTGCTGGACACAAGGAACTATTGCATTAATATCATATGCCAAGAAATTTTTCCCAGTTTCTTCATTGTCATCTAACTGTGCCAGAATACTACCCAAGTAAGGAATCTGGCTTGCATTGATGATTCAGAGGTCTCCAAACCATGGTTTGTTGGGTCCGTGTGGCATCCTAATCCTAAAAGCTGCTTGTTCGTTCGTTCGTTCATTCATTTCATTTCATTTCTACCCCGCCCATCTGGTCTTGTGACCACTGTAAGAACAGCACAGCATGTTCTTAGATTTGGTCTATTAAGAATACAAATTGATATTATTCTATGACAGACTTTTCATGCATTTATTGCAGCTTTCAATACTATATGTGATGCTTATCATACTGATTGGTATGGCTTGTAAGCATGCTAAAGTAATAACATTGAATATGATTATGGATCTTAAAAGTGTCAATGCATTTATTACGTCAGTTTATGCTGCAGAATTTGTCTTTTGCCTGTCACTTAAAAGTGTATTTGCATCCCTCTCAGGGTATATGTGTCACATCTAATTGTTGTTAATATGGAAGGCAACAAAAAGAGACAAATGCAGGTTTTATTTGAAGCTGACACCTTTTCAGTGCTCTTTTCATTTTCACCTATGCCTTTAAAAATGACCTTACTTTATGGTTTTTAAAGTGACCTCTCAATGATAAAATTTACAATTAATCAGGCAGTATTCTATCACTTAAATGCAGAGCAGAAGGACAATTGTGTAAATGTTTCTCCTGCTTTGGGAAGTTTCCCCTCATGCAACCAGCAGCAGGACCAATCCTGCAACCAATGTAAGAACAGACATGCACCAAGGAGCCACCAGAGCAAGGAGGTGAATGTTTTATGGATAACCCTCCTGCTCCTTGTTTAGGTAACAGGATACTGGCCACTGTATATCTGTGCTGCTACACTGGTTTTATAATCTCCTTTGCTGAGGAAATATACCTTTATGCTGAATTTTTAAAATTCTTTCATAACATATTCTTCTCATTTCTTGTGAGACATGAACAGGACACATGTCCTTAGGCAGTCCATATGAAGTTTTAATAAAACAGCACAAGAGGTAGAAATACAAAGGCAATACATGCTCTTTCATTTAAAGATACAATTGACAGAATAACCTAATTCATTAAAAATATCCAATTAGATCATCACTGATTTTTCCACTTTCTTCTTTTATATGGGTTCTTTAAAACGTAAGGTGTATTTTGATGGTTCTTTTAACGAAAGCATGTGGAGAGTTTTGGCACAGATCCTTTCACTGTTTTAATCTTTCTTAGAGTTTGTGGCCACATGTTTATATTTTAGCTGACAGGAGCATCATGGTTGAAACAGCCATAAAGGATTGTTAGTTAATGAAACAGTAACAGAAGAACTCATCTTTGCACAAAGAAAATGGAATATGAGAGAGAGAGACGTTCTTGCCTAGCCTTCTCTCACACGGGATAAACTGCTATGTGCCGGGAATTCTTTTTCACAGAGAAGCATTCAATGATGCACTCTCCTATATGTATTAAGAACAAAACAAAAATAAGGGTTCCTGCATTGTTCATTCTTTTTATTAACCAGCCCCAAACACTGACCCTTGGTTGATGCTGCATTAAGAATTAAGGAAACAAAGCTCATATACATCCAATTATGGGGATACCACTGCAACATTACCAGTTGAACTTCACTATGTATACTAATCAAGGAGAAACTAGTGAGAGGATTTAGGATTGATGTATAATCCTACACATTATTCCCTCCCTTCCTTCCCCTGTACCTGGAACTGGGAAGAAGGAGAAGATACGAAGAGGAATGACACACAGTTCTGCAAAGGCGAAATCGACACCAATGATGTCAACCAAAATCTTCTCTGACACATTAGGAGTCCAAAACATCACAAAACAGAGCTGCAGGGAGGAGAATCAGAAGAAAGGTTAAAAACTGGGCACAATCTTAGGCCTCCAATATTGCATTAATTTGTCGACTGAGATGGTTGTGTTGCTAGGAACCACTGCAGTGGCCGCTCATTTAAGAATAAAAACAAACCTGTATTTTAGAACCCTTGAGGTAGTCTGTTTCGCCAGCAGAATTCATCCTCATTAGGAAGGCAGTCTTTATTCAGAAAAGCATTTTTTGTTTAGTATAAACAGATATTCATAGCTCCCTGAAACAGCAGTCACCTTCTGCTGAATCCTTCAGTTCTAAAGCAGCTGTGCCTTGCATGTACCACTCTCTATAAATAAGGTTGCAGTATATTTTTAGAGCTTGCCTGAAATCTTCTTCTTATGCCTGTCATTTAAAGATACTTTGCTTCTGGTGTTCCCTCATTTAGAAGAGTCCTGCCTCTCATTTTAGAATAGTTAAGTGAAAATATTGCACATTCAAAAAGTGATTTTATAACTAGAAAAGTTGGAAAAAATGGAGGCCAAAAAGTTAGGAAATATGACAGAGTTGTATATAATTATGCACAGTGTGGAGAAAGTGGATTGAGAGAAGCTTCTCTCAGTTCCATTATAATAGAACCTGGAGTTATTCACTGAAGCCAAATAGAGCGAAACTGATGGCAGATACAAGGAAATACTTATTCACACAGCTTATAGTTAAGTTGCGGAACTCACTGCTACAAAATATAGCAATGGCTGCCAATGGATAACTTTATAAGGAGGACAGATAAATTAAAGGAATTCAGGGCCATCTATGGCAACTAGTCAGGATGGCTTCCTGTTGCCTCCAGTATCAGAGGCAATATGCCCTTATGTTGAATTAGAATAGCCGTTTATTCTGAGAACAGAATGCTAGATTAAACTAGAAAGAACTTTGATCCAATCCTACAGGGCTCTTCTTATGCTTGTAGATATTTACATTGAAAGCTCTGGAAGATGTAAGCTAGAGAGAAATTCAGTTAAGCCATACCAGGCACAACCTGTTCAGGCCCATCAGTCAAACGAAGCAAATACTTTATTGGGATCTTCCTAAAAATTCAGTAGTCATGTTAATCAGTAGATGAATCGTTAATTCCAGGCATCCTCAGAGGACTGGAGTAGGAACTCTGTCCATGCTCTGTTGCTGTTTGTTGGATAGTTGAGTATTTACAGCTGTGGGAACAGCTTTTGTCCTTTTCAGGAGATACGTTGATCAGCGTGTTTTTGTTGTGGGTGTATTGTTGTGATAAGTGGGAGAGATTATCTGTCACTGTGGTTGATGGGTGTCTTTAGATGCTGGCCGGCCACAGAGACTGGCAAAACATCAGGAAGAACAACCTTCAGAACAGGGCCAAAGAGCCCAAAAAACCTACAACAACCATCAGATCCCAGCCGTGAAAGGCCTTAGAGAATTCATTAAATCATGAAAGGCCTTAGAGAATTCATTAAATCGTGAACAGTTGAGAAGCTGCAAAATTGAGAGGCCAGTTCTGTTATGCAGCAAGCTGCCAATTTAAAATCAAACTTAATTTTTGTCCAAGAAAATGTTGGCTAAAGAACCTCTTGCCATTATCAGTGGAGACAAGAAGGCCTATGGAAAAGTTGATGCTCTTGATGGAGAAGGCCTACATATGGCTGTTGAAGAAAGCGATAAGATATACAGCTCTCCAATCAAAAAGCAAAATACTGTAAATTCAGATGTTCCTCACAGCAAGCAGACTTTTCACAACAGTTGGATAAAAATATAATGTAATATGATTTTACACCACCTCACTGGGGAGTACAGAGAGGTATCTGGATACCATGGCCAATGCCTGTAGAGAGCTCACAATACCTAGTGCACATAAATAAAGTAACACAAGGTACGCAACCTCACAATCAATACATTTTGTAACCCAACTTACTTATTGTTGTATGCTTCCTTGAGTTCCTTGAAAGAAGAATGTGATTCAGATGTGATAAACCAACAAACTATGTGTTGGTGTAACACACACATTCTTGGCTTGTCACACTTGTATTCAAGTGTTCCTTCGAGAAATTCAGGGAAACATTTTGATAGATGCCTAGTCAACTCCACTCCCCCAACAGCTTCAATTTGGGAGATTTGGACCCAAGTTGGTAATTGGTGAAATATAGTACCAGTTATGCTAACAGAGATTTGTTAGCACTCAGCCATTTAGGGAGTTAAGGGAATATTCATAAACTGATATGTGGCACAACCTTCATTATCCAGCAATTCTAACAAAGCTAATGCACTTTTTCCCTTTATGGGACAGATAACTGGAGACCTTAAAGGTGACCTTGCTTTGTATGAAGAGACTCAGCTCTAGAGAAGGATAGTAGCTAATTCAAGTTAAGCACATAATATTCTAATTAAAAACATCTCTTGAGAGAGCTAAGATTTTATTATGTTAAAAATATACACGGTGATGAAGGATTCAAATTAGTTCAAGGCTTTATAAAAATGTTCCTCTTTATGGGCTCAAATTTGTGATGCAATTGATCTACTTTCATGGTTGAAGATATTCAAGAAATCGGATTGAGGGATGTCAAAGAACTATGATTTTAATATCATTATCACACACAGATTTAAAGTTTAATACATCATGGGAATCAGGAAACGTGTGCTGGCCAAGGAAAGTTGAAATCCCTACAAAATCACACTTTCAAAGAGCCTCATTCACCCTAAATGGACGTCCATTTTGTTTTCTTCATAGGGATGGGGACCAATGCAGTATATTTGTCTCAACTGTATGAGTATCTCTAATCTCCATATTTTTCAGAATGACAAATTTCCACTTTTTGCCTGAATGTCCAAATAGCAGATAGTAAAGTAGTACATTAACTATTTGCTATTTGGACATTCAGGCAAAAAGAATCCAACACATTTACAACTGATGTTAGGTTAATTCAATAATATTTCACACAATTAATTGGCAACTGTGCCATAGTAAGCAAACTCTGAGGCAGAGAGTTTGACACACAAGAATGAAGAATGGAAGTCTTTGGGGGTTAGAGTCAAGGGCCAGTAAGAAGATAACTTGTCATCAGATATGTCCTTGCCTTTCGGTCCAGAGGCTTTAGAACCAAAAGACATGTGAAGTAATGCATACATTTCTTTTAAAAAGGTAACTCAGAAAAAGCCACAGAGCTCCTAGTCTGGATCTTGCGTGGAGATGAGTAGGAGCTCAAGCCTTTCCCCCATCTTTATGGTTGAAATTTGCCTCTGAAAGTGCTATGGTAACAAAACAGTCCTTTTGAGTGAATCAAACACTTGGGGTTGGTTATTTTTAGAGGAAAAGTGCTATGGCAGAGAAAGGAATAAACAAGTCCCCAGCAATCACTTTGCTAATTGCAACTCTATGGGACTGTTTTTTCTGAAGAAAGAAATTACTGGAGAACACATCAGAGCACAGCAAAGACCTGTCAAGCTGTTACAACAGGTAGGAAATCTAGACAGATGTACGTATCTGCATCTAACCTTAAATGCTGGCTCCTCCCACCTAGTCACGATCATCAACAGACCCTTCTCATCTTCTCCTAGGAGAGAGGTAGTGAGTAGATATCACTTCCCCAGGTATCCTGGGATGTTAGCAGAGGCTGGAGACTGGCAAAACAATAACTCAGTACCCCAGGTAGATCTCTTCCTTTTGGTATACCATCTTTTAATTTAGTGGGTGGACTTGCCTACTAATACGTTTGTTATTTTAGTCAGAGAGATGAAGCTGAAATACATTGGATCCACTGTTCTTTCAGGAATAGAAGCTGGATTGAACCCATTATCTTCAAGAATAGTTACTTTTTAAAAAATTAACTATTGTTTATATACAGGAGGGGAACCAATTCTACTGTTATCGGTTTGCTAACACACTTGCTTGAACTAGTTTATCAAAGGGCAGCCATTGGAGGGGGAATTTCTCCAGGATTTGAGGCAGCATGCCTTTGAACACCAAATTCTGGGGAACAGCAGTGAGAAAGGGCTACTCCTTGGGAGCTTCCTGTAGGCAGCCAGTAAGCCATTGTGGAATACAATGTGCTAGATTAGATACACTTTTGGTCTGATCCAACCGGCCAATTCTTAGGCACTTAAAGCTTTACTTGTCTTTGGAGCATGAATATTGTTCTCCAGTCAGAATCTTTGTGACAGCGGACTTCTTTGGTGCAAGGTGCCATACCCTTGGCAAGCCTTTGCCAAGGGAATTGCTCCACTCTGTAACCAAGAGACAATGTGAGGAGCAACTATCCACATCACACACGAGGCTTCTATGCTACTACTATAACTGTAGTGGCTGCCTACTGATAGCATTAGAATTGTAGATCACATATATATTAAATTAGAGATTCTCTATGGTAAGTATCACATCAAAGTACTAAACCTACTCCTGGATATTAACACCCAGTCTCACTTCTCATAGGGACGTGGTGGCGCTGCAGGTTAAACCGCAGAAGCCTCTGTGCTGCAAGGTCAGAAGACCAGCAGTCGTAAGATCAAATCCATGCAACGGAGTGAGCTCCTGTCACTTGTTCCAGTTCCTGCCAACCTAGCAGTTCGAAAGCATGTAAATACGATTAGATAAATAGGTATCACCTCAGTGGGAAGGTAACAGCATTCTGTATCTAGTCGTGCTGGCCACGTGACCACAGAAACTGTCTATGGACAAACGCTGGCTCTACGGCTTGGAGATGGGGATGAGCACCACCCCTGAGAGTCGGACACTATTGGACTAAATATCAAGGGGAACCTTTACCTTTACCTTTATCTCACTCCTCAGGTCCAATTGCCAAGTTTGGACTACCCAGAGAAGCATGAGCTTTTCAGTATTATTCAAATATTATTTTCAGCTTATTCAGCTTCTCTAATAAGCAAACTACCTTACCAATATTTTTAAAGGATATTGTGAAATAAGTAATAAAAAGAGGTATTGCTGGAGATATGGCTTTTGTTTTCCAAAACACGGAGAGAGAAAGCAAAGGACTTTCAAAACTATCTGATGATTATTCCAAAACCAAGAGTAGAGTTTGATTTGGTAAATGTATCACAGTGTGCTTTGTGTGATGGTTAAAGCAGCCATGGATTAAGTTGACACACACACACATACTCAGTGCAACTGTTGTCTGGGAAATAATCAGCATTCTGTTCAATACCACCAATTCATCTTATTTCCCAGGAGAGCTCAAGTGGGAAGTTCTTGGCACTCTTTCAGTAGCAAAGTTACAATTAGTGATATTGCTCAGCAGAACAAGTCAAATCATTCACACATGGCTTTCTTACACAAGCAGTTTTGTTAGGGACCATAAAGACCTGAAGCAGATAAGGAACAGCTGTTAGACTTAAGGATAAGTGGAAGAAGCCCATCCAATTAATCAGATTAATGAGACTTTTGATTAAGAACAAGCCCCAAGTCACTTTGAACTATTTTTACAATCCAAATTCAGAATGCAGCTGAACCCTAGTTGCTCGTACTGAGAGGAAGGAAAAAGATTAATGGTGCAGAAAAGGCTTCAATTGATACCTTTTTAATAAGACACTTGAGCTCAACTGGTATGCTGTTATAACAATGGCCAGACTGTAAACAAGCAAGTATTTATAGCAGACATAACTGAGCTCAATATGAAGGCCCTATTTACATTTCTATTAACTCAGGCTTGCTACTATAATCCTCACCCCCCCCCACCCTGTGATCCTGATCCTGATCCAAATTAAAACACATGCCCTCAGAGCTGAACCAGCTTGCTTTCTGAACTGCCAGAGTGGAATCTAATCCAAAATAATAGCTTGTATCCTATTGTTGAGACAGTGTAGCAGAATACTTGGTTCTGCATACAATATCTCCTTCTCCACTGCTCGTGCAAGAGGAATGCAATAAACCCTTGCACATGAGGAAATCCCTGTTGCCTTCAATGGAACAATTTCCAGTCCGTGCAACTACAAGCTGAAGATCACCAGAGCAAAGTACTGCACCACATGGTCCAGCAGGATTTGCATACCATTTGCTAACAGGATTCTACTTTAATTTTATAATAGACACTCTTTGCATATATATAGCCTTTATAACTCGTAGAAATCGATAGCCTTATCACCCATAAATCTGTACAATACCCTTTAAAAGCCAGGAAAAGCTAGTAATTGTCATCACACATCCTGCCAGAGATTTCTCCCCCCCCCCGGCGAGGTAAGAATACTACAGGTGCCAAAACTGGACTTTGAACAAGAGCCATTTCTCTTTGTAATGATTCTCTCAGGCACGTCCAGCTCCTTGTTAATACAAAGAAAATATGCTTTCACCTCTCAAAACGGCATCATGTGACTCCACAATGGGCGAGAACAAACAGGGAGATGAGTAATGACTGAACCTGACAAATTCAGCAGATAAGTCATCAGTGATTCAGCACCACTCTGCCGTTCTTACGCAACCATCTATCATTTTGAGTGCAGTGAGAGAGAACAAAGGAAACACAGCCACAGCAGGAGGACAAACTGCAAAATCACTGTCCATGCAGTAACATCCTTAGCTTCTGATCTGCTCTATTACTAATAATCGAGAATGAAGCATTCTTGATTTTTGCATTCATTCACAAGTCTTAACATTTATATGGAGCTTCCTGGGTGTTCAAAATGATTGGCAGCCACAATCTCCACAATATGAGCGAACATTATTGTCTCTATTTTGCAGAAGCAGATGAGGCAGAGACACTATAATCTGCTATTCAGTGTGTACATAACAGAGAAGCAATGTAAACTTCCTGGTTCACAGTTCATAATCTTAGTCTTGGCATCAGAGCATACCAGATATAGGCATAATCAACCAACCAACCAACCAACCAACCAACCAACCAACCAACCAATCAATCAATCTCTCTCAAACACACACACACACACACACACACACACACACATATACACGGATGTCTATATAAACATACCTATAAAGAGATGGAGAGAAATGTTTTGCTATGTTTGCTAATAAAAGGCCCATATCCAAATCGTTAAAGGGTAATAGTCCATAATATAAAGTCTGACATCCTGTGTTCCTGGAGCCAGTCATGGGTAGGGGACAGCCTAGACAAATGCTACTCAGGACTAGCTTTGGACAATTCTTGGGTTGATACACCTCACAGAGTTGTTGTGAGAATAAAATGGGTGTGGGTGGGATGAACGGAACCATATATGCCATCCTATGTAACTTGGAAGGACAATGTGATAAATATAAAGTCAACAAACTGATTAAAATAACACTGATGATTTGACTGACTTCTTACCGTTAATGACAAGGCCATGCAGACAAAAGTGAACTTTTTGATATGTGTTGATGAGACAGTGCTGCTGGTGTTCACCATTTTATTGCTGGGGTTATTCTGCAGCAGAAAAGGGGGAAAAGAGCATTCATTTCTGGAAAACAGCCACATTAATCTGCATCGCACACACAGAAAGCAATCCCATCGCCACTTATTTTGAAGTAGGCTCGATTTACGTGTGTAGATTTGCTTCAGGAAGAAACATGTCTAGGACTGTCCTGTTGTCTTAGAAAGTAACTGATTTGTTGGCATAAGTGCTTGACAAATGTGACTTTTGCTTATGGAAACAGTGACTTGGCTCTGAAATACTGAGTTTGCTGCATAAAGGAATTGAGGAAAAACCTGCTTGTGTTTTTGCCTACTGCAGATACTGGCCGCAGCCCAGAAACACTGCCCTAGAACTGAAGTGAAGGGGACACTGAAGGTCCATTTGCCATATTCCACAGCAGAGGTCCTACATAAAAGCAGGCTTTTGGACCTCAGTCATTTAGCAAACAGTAAGCATTTAAAGTTTGTATTGTTGCTATGGAACTAAAAACAGAATTCATGCATTATTGTAAGTGGTTAAAAGAGACCCAGTATACTTGTGTGGTTTAGTTCAGTGGTTCTTAACCTTTGTTACTCGGATGTTTTTGAACTGCAACTCCCAGAAACCCCAGCCAGCACAGTTGGTGGTGAAGGTTTCTGGGAGTTGCAGTCCAAAACTCCTGAGTAACCCAAGGTTAAGAACCAGTGGTTTAGTTGATCATAGCTTATTTTGCAGATGAATTGTCAGATTATTTAAAAATTCCTGTCTCTGATGAATTGTTTGAAAGATATTGGGTTTCTTAGAGAACTACCTATATTAGTGACCTAGTTTTTACACAGTCTTGTGTATAGCCAAACAATTGTCTTCTTTTCCACAAAATGCCTGGCTTCAGCTCTATAGATTCTTAAGAGTTGAACTCATTTGATTCAGTATTTCAAAGACATAAATCTAACAATTGTGCATTACCCCACAGATGATTAGCATTTGCTAACTACTAATGGATATTTATACAAACTTTGAAAGTTCATTATCAGTATTAAAAATGCACTTATCATTTTCTATATCCCATTTCATTCTGATACCATCCCATTGCTAAGTGCACTGTGTATATAAACTTGTGGCCAGAATATTGTACTCTATATGTCTAAAGATGTTAAAGAAACAGCTAATGTTATAGTAAATGTTTGCTAAAAGATGCCACAAGATGGCTTGCCTGTTGTTGGGTAGCAGGGGTTGGCTATACATAACCAATGAAGTGCCACTTCTAAACTCATACAACACCATAGATGGGAAACATGTGGCTCTTCAATTATTTGGAGGATGTAATCTAATCAGCTCTAGCCACATAGCCAATAGCAACACTTTCTGAGAGTTGTGGTCCAGCAACATCTGAAGGATCACAGTTTTCCCATCTCCGGACAAGATTTTCCTGTGTCAATGGCTACAGCAAAAAGGTCATTAAACTGCTCTGCCAGTTCAGAGTTAAACTATCTACCTCTTAATGGGAATTTAAATAAGCAAAACCTGTGGTTTGAGGCAGTAAGATGCTATTATACGTGCTAAACACACAAAAAGCTGATGCACTTCTTTAAAAACACCCCACCAATATAGTGGTAGAGTTTATTCAGATCATTGCAGTGACTCTTGACTCTTGGACCATCTACAATTAATAGTGGAAACGGAGTCATGGCCAAAAATATTGGCAACCTTGCAATTCTGTCAGAAAATGCAACGCTTCTCTCAGAAAACTGTTGTAGTAGCAAATGTTTTGATACTCGCATGTTCATTTCTTTGGTTTGTATTATAACAACACAAAAAAGGAGAAGAAAAGTAACATCTGATACAATCCCACACAGAAATTCAAACATGCACTGGCCACACTGCGGATTCACAGAGGCCAGGAAGAAGAACATCAAGTCCAGCCTCCATCCAGGAGGCACAGTGGGGAACTGAACTCCGAACCTCTGACTCCGCAACCAGATACCTAAACCCCTGAGCTATTCAGCAGTTCCTTCCTGCTAAGAGGGGTCACCTGATGGACCTCATCAACTGGGGAACCACAGAGCATCGGCATGACCAAGCGGTGCCAAACTGGCAGGTTAGATTAGTCAGACAGATGCTTCACCAACAACAACATCTGCTACTACAGATAAGTAAAAACAAGACTCTGAAGATCCACTGAATTCAGTTTTGCCTCATTTCTCACAGACTTGACATGGCTGTAAAACTGATTTCTCAGAGAGCACGCTTGTTGAGAACATATCGGAAAAAGAATCTAAGGGTTTGCTCTCATCACAGATAACAAGCTCACCTTGTCAAAAGCAGGATAAACAGCTCGAATTTCTGTCAACCAGCCATATGGCATGTGTCCCACTGGATATGTAGCTGTCAGAATCGCCACAGCCTAAAGTGGGTTGGGGAGGAGAGAAAAAAATTACAGGTCAAATCTTCAGAGAAATTCATTAAAATTACCTCACGCCCAACAGTCAGACAATCCTATCACAGTAACACCAGCAACATTTTAGAGAGTCAAGCAAGCAGCTGGGATCACGGCTCACAGTTTGGGCAGAAAGTCAAGACCAGAGAGCAGCTAGAATTTTATATGCTAAAAATTGGAAAAGATCATTTCTCAGAGAGCACGCTTGTTGAGAACATATCGGAAAAAGAATCTAAGGGTTTGCTCTCATCACAGATAACAAGCTCACCTTGTCAAAAGCAGGATAAACAGCTCGAATTTCTGTCAACCAGCCATATGGCATGTGTCCCACTGGATATGTAGCTGTCAGAATCGCCACAGCCTAAAGTGGGTTGGGGAGGAGAGAAAAAAATTACAGGTCAAATCTTCAGAGAAATTCATTAAAATTACCTCACGCCCAACAGTCAGACAATCCTATCACAGTAACACCAGCAACATTTTAGAGAGTCAAGCAAGCAGCTGGGGTCACGGCTCACAGTTTGGGCAGAAAGCCAAGACCAGAGAGTCTCTGCTTTTTTTTTTTATTGTGGAAAGGGTTTTTGCAAAGCTGAGGTTCTTTGAAAATGACAGTTTGGAACGTCGGTTTCAATCTGCATTTTCCAATTTGTCTGATAAGCCTTCCTGCCTTAATTACTACAATGTATTAAAATACTCCACTACTTTATTCGCAACACAACAATGTCTGGACCTGTTTACAGCACGCACACCCACCCACACAAACACACAGCTCAAAGGAGGAAAAAGTTTGAAAGCATGAAACAACAATGTATATTGGACTACAGGATCACTCCAAGTTGGAAGCAACTTGGTGGCATATAAAAGCAGTTTACTTACCCGTTTGCTTGTTTAACAGCCATCCTACCTTCCTCTCTCTTTTTATTTTATTTTTGAGAATGAAGCTCACAAATTGGTTAAAAACAGCTACACAATAATTTATACTAAATCCTAACTGCACAGATATCAAATTTGTTTTAACATCATAAGAATACACGACAATGAACCTTAGGCACACATGCCACTCCTCCTTCACCTCCAGAATCAATTTGCTATAATTAGCAAAAAGAAATCCACTTCAAATGCATTTTACAAAGTTTCAACAACCATAGTTGAGATTCATAATAGCTTAGAGCTTGCACAACAGACTAAAAACTCAATGTTGGAAAAGGAGAGGGTGTGATAAGCCTTTCAGTTAAGGCTCATTCTCATAACAATAAGCAATAATTTAGCATTACATCCAACAGAATATTATCCACTACATATTGAATTTTTATCCTACCTCTCTGCCTGCATTAATGTGAATTAACTAACCATGGTCAATTAGCATTTATATTAAGCACAGCTAGTTTTCAGCCAGAATTTGCCCGGTTCATGCTATATTTTATTTTCATTATTTCTGTATCACTCTTCACCAAGACTGACTTCTGAGGAATTTGCACCATTAAAATATCACTATAAAAGCCACGTATTAAAACAAGCAGCAAATAAAACGGAGGCATTGAAAAGATTTAGAATGCCTGAAACCTAAAAGCCTGCATGCATAAAAAGGGTTTTGTCTACCATTTCAAAGAAAGCAGTTTTGACAATAGGCAACCCCCACCCCCAGGGAAAACACCCTGGAAATGCAGATATGGTTGCATAGTACCCTGTTTCCCTGAAAATAAGACGGGTCTTAATATTAATTTTTGCTCCAAAAACTGCATTATGGCTTATTTTCAGGGGATGTTTTATTTTTTTCATGTACAGTTGACATTTATTCAAATACAGTCACATCATCTTCATCTGGTTGCTGCACAATTGTGGAGGGCAGGCTTTCACTTAACTGGGGCTTATTTTTGGGGTAGGGCTTATATTACAAGCATCCTGAAAAAACATACCAGGGCTTGTTTTCAGGTTAGGACTTATTTTCAGGGAAACAGGGTATAAATATTGGTGATGACATAAAACTGTAGTTTTCTGTTATGCATTTCTATTATGTTTCTTCACAAATCCCCTTCAATTTTTGTCCTGCCAGAACCATGGCAGCACCATGTACAGAAATTTGCCGTGCTCTCAATTTGTATGTTGGCAGGACTTCATGATGGTTGGTGCTGCCAGCACTTTCTCTTCAGCAATGATGCTTTCAGAAATGGAAGCAAAAAGAACAAAATGAACAATGGGCACTAATGAAGTCAGCTATCAGCTGATAATATGAGAAGCATTTGCTTTCCAGAGAATGCATTCTTTGCTCTTAGCAACTAAAAATCCTGTTGAAGTGGTATACTTGAAATATTAATTGCACAAATTGTGGGCAGAAAGAGCAAGGTGTCCAATTAAGCATTTTGAGATGCCTTGGATGTTTAGCTACTTAATACTATTTTATATTCTACTGCTTTCAGGTGCTAAAAGTAATGTACATAAACACTCTAAAGAGCTGTAGGGTATGTACTCCTACAATACAGGGTTTATATATCCAGTGATTCTGCAAATGTGAGAGACTTGGTGTTATTTATAAAGGCCAAGATCCAATGGATTACATTGCTTCCATCGGTAAAATCGATAGGGGGAATGGACAATCCCCACTGCCCATTGCAAAGCTCCAAAATCTGCTCTAGAAGAATGGGAAACTCTCTGGATAAAGTTTTTGGGCTGTGCCAAGGACTATTGGAAAGGGGGTTCCATTCACAGTGGTGCTGCAGCATGAATGAGAAGTTGGCTTTAGGTTACATAAACTAAAATTGCCAGGTTCTGTACACAAATTAAAACCAGTGCAGGCCTCCCTCTCAGCATGATCACAAGAGCTGGGTCTAATCATATGAATCCATCCTTTTAAGTGGATACCTTCAAAGAACGCTAGTTCTATCCTAAAGTCTCATGCAATTAGCCTTGATCATGTGGTTATGTTTCACACATGCACACTCACAAAGTGGGTTACAAGGCATCTGTATGATGAGCCTTCAACATTTGGGGAGGAGAGTCTTGTTTCACTGCCCCCTACATCTGCTTGCTTTTACCTATGTCGAGCAAAACCACCCTCCCATTACTATAACAACACAACATCTTCTACTCATCCTTCAAAACAGCTGCATATTGAACTTAAATATTTTAATATTTTATATTAAAGTTATAAATTATATAATAGACATAGACAGACAAAGGCATCCTTCAGTCTCGAGAGACTATGGTAACATGCTCTGAATCGAGGAGTGTCTTCTCCAGAGCATGAAGCCCGGGTAA